CAATAAATTGCATCTGAAGTAAGCAGTCGATTTCTGTTTATTGGCCTAAGATTGTCAGGACATAATGCAACGTCTCCAGTGCTTAACGATCATACATTTATTTGTGACATGTGCAGCACAGAGTATAAATGTGTTTACAGAAGGAAAAGACAAGAAGTCATATGAAAAAAGGCAAATTTTACAATGAGCTCTCAGGATATTCTTTTGACAATTCTTTTCATGTGGGTTTTTATTTTTTTTTGTAAAGTTAAAAAATATTTCCATTAATGTGAATGGAGAACAAAAAGAAATACGTTCTGTTTTTTTATGTAGTGGTAGTTATTCTCTCACCCTGGCACTTTCACATTTTAATTACCAAAGCGATTGTTTTCTCAGCTATAATACAATGCATACAAGAGTCTTTTTTTTTTTTTTACATTGAAACATTGGGTACATCTGGGATGTTCAAATATCTGACCCAATAAACAAAATATGTATAATAACATTAAGAAATTTGAACAACAATAAAATAATTTGTTATAATAGCCTGAAACCCCCCTCTGCCTTGATGCACGATAGAGACCAAAAGAGTCGTGTGCGTCCATTGCACAAAGTTTTAAATACACACTGATGATAAACACAGACATAACACACATGTTTGGCTAAACACAAAGATCATCAGTGAAATCATTGAGGCTATGACTGATAAATTAGAAAGTGTGTTTGTGACAGATGCTAAGCTCCTTTGTTGATTGGCTGGTGCAATGCTGCCTCACCATGGCCTGAAGCTTGCACTGCAGCTACTTGAACTTTCACATCCTCCCATTTTTCAAAAAAGAAAGAGACAACTTTCTCTGGTCCTATTGCACAATTTATCTTCCAGCGACGAAGAGAAAAGCATCTCAATTTTAAAAGTTTATGTTTTGATTTCCCTCCTGCCCTTCCTCCACACAGCTGTTGGCAAAAAATGTTCAAACAACTGTACAGTGTCACGTCTTAAATAAATATTTTTTTTTATCAACAAAAATGTTGAGGAGCATGTTCATATTTATAAAACTGAAAAAAAAAAAAAAAGCTCATTAACTTTCAAAGAAACATGCATTTCAGCACCAACATCTGGTGGCAGCTTTGGCTGAAAAAGTAAACAACAGCAAAACAAAAATAAATCATCAATCACCAGCAGGTATTAAATATTTGTATTAAAATGACCTTTCATGTCCCTAACCTGTTTTTCTTCAACAGGGCTCAGAGGCTATACATATATAGACACAATTAATGCAGATATTTCTTTTAAAAAAAAATCCCACAAACATGTTCTGTCATTTTGATAAATAAAAATAGAAAACCACAGATATCTCTTCAGCCGTACTGTGTGCCATCTGAGTCCTGTCATAATTTTCCTAAGTGAAAGAGAACTTGGCAAACAATGGCGACCACTCCTGTGTTGAGCACTGAGGATATGGAGATGTCTAATAATCTGCTTTCGTACAGTACAAACTCTTTCTTGTTCTCTTCCACTTTAGCCATGGCCAACAGACCCTTAGCTGCCCGGCACATCATGTTTACACTGGGTGGGTCCATTGGAGGGTGTCCCATGTGTAGCAAACTGTGAGGGTTCTGCTGGTACTGCGCCATACTGACACCATCCTCCAAGAAGGCTACCAGGTTACCCACACTAGCCTTCTGCAAGGCGATGGCTCGTGCTGCGGTGGGGTCTCCCTGTGCGAGGTGTGAGATAACAGCCACCGCCATCTCTCTGTACACCTGCGCCTTCCTCTGACCAACATATCGGACCAAGACAGCAAAGAGTTTTTCCTGTCTGCTGAAAGGTGGCGTGGCCAGTAAGAGGTCCACGTTGCCATCCTGGATGCTAAGCTTGCAGAGGCATTCCAGCACCAGCCTCTGGGGAGTGAGCTGAGAGTGCGGAGCTCCTGACGGGAACGGGTCCTGGGCTTCAGCTGAGGGACAAACCATCCAGTGAAGAAGGCCATCCAGGATTGGGAGGCAAATGGTGTCCGAATAGGTTGATAGATCAAGGTGTCCTGCAATATTGGCAAGTGTGACCATGGCGTTCTCCCTGAGCAGACACAGGCACTCCCACCACCACTCCTGTTTGCCACCAGACAGTCCCTGCTCCTGTTGTACGTCCCTCTGGTAGCTTGGTGCTGACCGGTTCCTCTCTGGGTGAACGTGATGCAGCAAAAGCAGCCTGCCCAGGAGGAGAACGAGGGCAGGATGGTGAGACATTTCCATGTCGTTCCCAGGGATAAAGGACAGACTCCGGACGATGTTGGAAACACAAAGGCACCTCTTAGAGAGTGAGTCCTGCCAGGAGGAAGTTGTGCAGAGTGGAGCTTCGTCCAGGCACCGAGGTTCATCCTCCAGAAGGGTAATATGGTCATCCTCTCCGTCCGGATGTACCCTGAATGGGTAAGATGGCAATGATCGAGCAGGGTGGGCATATGACAGGGCGTCAACCCTGGCACACAAAACATCGTCAATAGTTGCAGTGATATGTTTCAGTGGTTTCCTGTTTCCCTCTTTTATCTTGTTTTCTGCTTGGCTTTCGTCCAATGTTCTTGTACCATCCCTGGCTGAGGGATCAGTTCGCAGTTCAAAGTGTGTCTGAATGTGTGCAGTGGAGTCACCTCCACCCGCCTGCCAGTGTAACAGCCCACTGTCAAACTCAGAGACATACCCCAAGCGCTCCGTTATGTCTTCAATCATGTCATCTTTGTGCACAATCTTGATTGGGAGTTTATCATATTTACTGGCTTGTTTAGGTTTGGATTCTGAAACCGCTGGAAGCCCACCTGGAAATTCTTTTTTAATTTCATGTGCGTCCACTACTTCCAATTCTTTTCCTTCTTGCTCTTTATTCAGATTCTCCTTATTCTTGGTTGTATTGGGATCCTGTTTCCTATTCCGTACCTCAGCCTTCTCTTCAGTGACAGGTAGTCTTTTCTCATCTGTATCGCCTGTTTGCTTCTCCTGAATTTCTACTGCTGGGGATGTTTTAGGTCCAGTTAGGATTGCAGAGTCTGCTTCCTTGTCATGGGTAGCGTCTTCATTTTGCATTGAACCAGTATCTAGTTGGCTTTTGGGAATTATTGTGCGAACCTCAAATTCTTCCAAGATTCCGAAAATCTCAATCAGGCAGCGTCGGAAGTGCTCAACGATTAACTCAAGGAATCCTGGCAGCTGGTCAAAGAAAGATAGAAGAAAATCAGCGAAGAAGGCACGATCTTGTGTCTATAACAAATAAAGTATAGTTCTATTATAATAAAAATGCAAACTATCTAAACTAAAGCCGAACTTTAATTTAACAACAATGATACTCTAATGATAAACTGTCTTTAGATCAGAGTTTAAAAAGATTGTAAATCGACTTAATCGTTTATGATGTAATCCAATTAGCCTGGTAAAGCATAAAGAAGGCTGTGAACTGGCATCTGCTTATTTTAAAATGGATTAGCCCTTATCTGTGATCACCGAGCTGAAACTCTAATCTAATCGGCAAGTGGACCATACTGAGCTTCCAGGTCTGGATGACAATAATACTCTTTAACTATGAATTTAAATATCTGTAAATGAGGTATTTAAACACAGAGTCAATGTAAGCAAATGCTGACATGAAACAGTGATTTCTTGAACATGTTTGTATTTATTTGGCTATTAAACACCTAGAGAGAGCGAGGATTTCTGCAGATAACAGAAAGGCTTGAGTTGAATGGAAACGTCTTGTTTTATGATTTATCGTTCATCCAAATTTGATAGATACTGGAATTGCATATTTTAGCAGCCCTTAAGAATCCACACATTCTGAAACAAGAGGTCCTGAAGTGGAGTTCAGCATTCACACTAGACTTTTGAGATCATCTTCAGGAATCTAAATTTGATAAACAATTCAGAATGGTGAAACATATTTATGCTGAAAATGTAGAGATAAAAGCAGAAGTAAATGGATAAAACGTCTGCTCATCCATTTTTGTGTGATCTTTTATTTTCTTTTGGACAGAGAAGAAAATATTTTATTTAGTTGTCATCTTCTCCAAGTCTCTTCCACTATTATTTTGTGGGTCACATTATGAGGTGCTGCTTTGGAATATGCAGCGCAAAATCTGTAACTGCAGTGATTACTGATTACTAATTTAAAATGATGTAGTTTAAAATGTCAGCTCTGTGATAAGTTATACATAAGGCCAGTTTTAGATTAAAAAATGATATTTTTTCTAATGTAATTAATTAATATTCTTCTACCGATATATATTTTGAAACAGCACAAAAATCTTTACTTGCAGGTAAAGTTTTATAAAAACAAAAACAAATGAAACAATCTGAAATCAGAACCTATATGCTAATCATGTGGCTTGTAGTGATTTTACCTGAGAAAGATTGAAGGAGGCCACTGTACTGTCATCATACAGCAGGATGTTGATGGTGTCTAAAGCCCATGTGCTTTCTGCCAGTAGGCCGGACTTCAGAGACATCATAACGCGCCAGGCTTCAGGCGTCCCTGGAATCCAAACAATGGGAATTAAAGATATGCAGGGATTTATGAGAAGCAGAAAATGAGGTAATTTCAACAATCAATGAAATGTCTTACCACAGTCCTTTGATGTGAGCTTGCGTTTTGGCTTGAGGATTGGCATTGTGGCTTCTACTGACCCTGGAGGGTAGTTAAGGTCCCTCCTCAGATTAGGAGGAAACTGACACATTGGTCCACTGCCTTGTGAGCCCATCATGGCCATCCCTGGCTTAGGCATCTTCATGGGGGACATGAAAGGGGCTTTACTGGGTGACATTCGAGATTCCATCGAGCGCTGGAAGGCCCCTGGGCTGGGCGCTCGAGGCAAGTGGTTGGTCATGGATGGAGGGTTGGAATAGGATGAATGGCGTGATGACATGGAGGCCATGCCACCTGAGGATGACATGTAGGGAAGCTGACGGTGCCACTGGTCCTGTGCGGAGCGACCTTCCATGTCATCCCTGCAGACAGAGCCATACGGCTGCATTTGGGACGGTGGCCCCTGTCTGCCGTGGTAGGGATAGCTTAGATCTGTTCTCGAAGGCCACATGTTTGGTCCCTCAGCAGCATGGTTAGAGGTTGGCCCCCCACCCATCATACTGTGCTGGTTCTGGCCAGATGGAGCCATTCTGTCTCGGTGGTAGGGGTAAGGGAACTGTCCTTGGATGGGTCTAGACTCAGGGCCTGAGTACCCACCCCCGTAGTGATTGTACACATCTGGCTGCTGGTTGGTGTACTGCATGGCGTACATTTCACTCTCATGTCTTTTGGGCGGGGGACCGTACATTCCATCCAACTGTCGCTTGTAGCCCTGATTGAGCAAAGTCCTTGTTAGTACACAGAAAAAAAACACACAGGCCCAATCCTGAAATAAATGCCATTAACGTTAAAATAGCTTTGGATATATGTAAGGTTTTCAGAAATGTAAGCACATTTAGACAAGTGGTTTTTACTTTACTCTCTTTTCTAAACTCTGGAGAATCTGTTAGTTCAATCTCTAACATTATGCTCTCTCTGCTTTTGCTCATAGTAGCTCAAACTGAGCCTGGTTCTGCTGGAGGTTTTTTGCTGTTAAAAGGGAGTTTTTCCTCTCCACTGTTGCTACAAGCATGCTTAGTGTAAGGGGTTGCATTCGAGTCAATAAGTCGATCAACTGGTTTTCCTTAGATAGAAAACTTTGACTCAATTTCACTGTATGATCTGGTTGAACTGTAAAGGGCCTTGAGATGACATGTGTTGTGAATTGGTGCTATAGAAATAAACTGAAATGAATTGAATTAAACCTTCAAAACACACAGAAAGATATTTCTTCAGCTGTACTACTGAGGCATTTAAAATACTCCTGTCTGTTTTTGCCATGGATTATCTGCACCATTTAGTCTGATCCTTGTTAAAACCGAGCTCTTCAAGAGAAAAACGATATTTTAAAAATATTTGGAGTACTAGGTCATCTAGAGATTAACAAAAAGTATGACAGACTGGCAGACCTTACTTATACCAAATAGTACTTTCTGTGCTGGAAGACCATAACTCTAGAGCTCTTCATATCTGTTCATCTTTACCCTGATAGTGATCCGGAAAAAGTATATAACATGAACTGTTCATGATCTTTACCTCCTTAAAAGTACATTTTAAATGGAGAATAAAACAACATGGTCTTTTTGCATAAGTCTCTCAAAGGGTACTGTTTAAACCTTTTTTTTAATTCCCAGATCTCATCTAGGGTGGTTGATGAAGTATTTTGTTTTCTCCTATAACACAATTATAGTCTTGAAATGTCACCGCTGCAAAGGGCCAATTCATGCACACTGGATCTTGGCAACAGTACAACAGCAAAAACAGCACAAATTCCTTTTTTTATGTACTACAGTATGTCAAATAATATATATATATCTTTTAGATTTTACTGTCAGACTTTCCAAAACAGCCAACACTAAATAATTAAATACAGTATTCTGTATTTCATGACTTTACATTATTAATTCATAAGCTACTCCAAACCTTTCTTGTCAAAGTTGTCCAGATTTTGGCTAAAAAGTTTAACACTCTTTTATGGCAGTATCACATTTCAGGAGGCATGAAAACAGTGAACTTGGGTATGAAATAGCAGCTAACAGTGCTGTGTCTCACCTGTTGCTGTGGGTACATCCCAGATGGATGCATCCCATACGGCATGCTGGGATACTGCTGCCCATAGCCGTCATGTCTGAAATACAGAAGTCAAAGCAAAGTTCTCATCTATTGACAGACTGTAAATCTTAAAATAAGAAATTACTGCTAAATCCACAATAAAGCCGCTAACCTCTGCTGTGAAGAGTATCTGCTGGGAGAATAAATGTTGCCTTCACTATTGGAGTGTCCCATGTTGTTTTGACCCCCAGGAGGCCCCATGGTTCCCTCCATCCCCATCATATGGTCAGGTCTAAGAATTAAACAAGACTACAAGTCATGCTTAACAGACCACCCACATTTATGCAAAATACAGTTGAGAAATTCATAGCATCAAACTTTGAATGTATAGGTAGTTTTATTTATTTGGTTATTTCTACCTGTCTGGCTGCCTTTCCAGACTAATCTTAAAAGAGTTTTTATTTTTTATTTTAACATAACAAAAAAAAAAAGGAAAAAAAAAAAAAAAAAAAAAAAAGCAAATGTTGTTTCTGTATTATTCAACATTAGGGCAATTTTTTCCAGACATTGCTTCAAAGTTAGCAGGGAGTAAAATTCTAAATTCCCCAAATTCTGAAAGAAAGTGACCAAATATGTATCCTGTATTTACGTATTTCCCGTATTTGACCAGGATATTACTGAAGGGCTTAAAATACATGCTTTTTTTAAAACCATAGAAATAGACAGAAATGAATACTAGCTGATGAGCTGGTGAATATTCTCAGTCATCCAGGTCATAGTCATTCCAAAACAGTAAAAAAAACAAACAATCCATTGGACTTTGTATTACATGTTTTCTAAAGACTTTGTAGGGCTACTGTATGAGCCTCGAATTTTACGCTATTTCTAACATTTTCACTGCAAAAACGATCTAGAAATCAGTGAAAAAAAATCAAATTAAGTGTATTTACCCTTACTTTCACTAGGTAAATAAAATGATTTGCCAATGGAATGATTATTTTGAGTATTTTTACTTTTAAAAAAAAAGATAATATGCTCTTGAAATAAGAAAATGCAATTATTTTGTTATTCTAAATGGAAATTGGCAAAGTGTCTCACTTACTCCCTCAATTCAAGACGAAATGCACTTATTTTAAGAAAAAATGAATTATTTAGATTTCAATTTTTTGGAGTGTTGAAATTAAAAAGTTTCCTGGATGAAAAGCGAATTCTCTTCAAACTTGGAATCAAAGTCCAGTGGATTGTTTTTTAAACTTTTTTTTGGAATAATAATAATAATGACTGTATGATAAAATCTGCCCAACACTGGCTGGTTAATGTCTGGGATTGTGCGATTTTACCTGCGGTCATAGCCTGGTCCATATGGATACTGGGAGCGCTGGCTCATGTTCAGGCCTGATGGGGCCCGACTGTACAAGTCCTGCATACCTCCACTGGACATCTGGCTTGGTATATATGGATCAGCTCCTGCCACTGCAAGAATATAAAGCAGTAAAATAAAAAGAAATGTTATAATAATACCATTAATCTACCACTAGAGGGCAGCATCCCTCTATGAATACTCCCCAGTCTATCTTATTAGCCCTATTGTTCTGTGTGTTGTTATGCAGCTGCCATCAACCATATTATTCATTCAGACTTCATTCTCCTCATTTTTTAGAGGAGCTGCCATTTCTTTCCAGGAAAATCTACATTTTTCTTCTGAACACTAAAACACAGGTTGGTCAAAACAGGTGCATCTCAGCAGGATTCAAGGGATTAAAGGTTTGAAGAAGGAAAAACTGCAATAAATGCAATGAGTGGAATAATGGAGACAAAGGCTAAGTAACAAGATCTCATGATAGCTCATGTTTTTGATAAAAGGGATGAGTGATGCTGCAAACAATCCCTTTATTTATTTGTTTAATAAAACACACACATCTATCCTGATCTGAGGAGACATGGTGATTTAATAATGAATTAGACCAACAAGGCAGAAAAAAGAGCAATGGCTCCAAGACTAGCGATTAACTTTGCCAAAGAGGTGTGCATCTTTACAGAAAGTTTAAGGGTCAAGTTTTAAAATGTCAAACTTCTGTTTTTTAAATTCCATCCATCACAAGTAACATTTGAAATCAGTTAAAGTTTTGTGTCTAAATAACAAAACCTGATGTAAAAAAAATATGAAAGTGTGTAACCAAATCGTAATATAGATTTTTTTGGTACAACATCGTCCATCCCACTCACTCTTCCTCATCCCTGCGAAGGGGTCCTTAGCATCATACTGCATCCTCATCATCATGTCAGGCATGCCGAGGGCCTGCTGGTACGGAGCTGAGGGGGGCAGGCTGCCTGTTCGCTTCTGAAAGGCTGGGTCGCTCACCTCAGAGAAGGGGTCCTGCACGCTTACACTGCTCCTGGACAATACAGGAGAACAAAAATTAGGAATTTATTTTCTTGATAGTTGAATGAATAACATATGATAGACTTAAAAAGAATGTCTTTTTCACCTTACATGCAGTTAAAATCACTGTTTTTATGGCTAAAGTGTTACTCATTCCAAACTGAGACCAACATTTAAAAAATAGTTTCCATTAAGTGTCTTTAACGACCGTAACAAAAAAAAAATGTTAAAGCACAACTTAAGAGAGGCTATCTTCTACTGTGGAGTGGCCTGTGGGGAGAGCAGGAGGGCAGGGGGTAGGTCTGCTTGTCTCCCCCCCCAGCACAGCCATCTCATGTTTGAGTTTACCCCAATTGATAAGAGCATCCCTTTGCCCTCAGACTGTTGTTGCAGCATACAGGTTGAAGGGCAGCACGGTGTACCAGGCCTTCTTAGCATCCTTGGGGGGTTTGGGTTAGGGATACCATCATTCTACTGGTGGACTTTAACAGCCATCAGGGAAAGAACAGTGACACCTGGAGGGGCGTGATTGGGACGAACGGTGTTTCATTATTGGACTTCTGTGCAAGTCACGTACAATCCATAATCAACACCATGTTCAGACATAAGTATGTCCATCAGTGCACCAGGACACCCTAAGCTTGAAGTTGATGGTCAACTTTGTAGTCGCATCTTTTGACCCTCGACCAAATGTCCTGGAGACTCGGATAGGGAGAGGGGTGGAGCTCTCCACCCATCACCAAGGAGTGGTAACATCTGGTTCTTGTTTAACTCCCACCTCTGGGTGAGCTTCTCACAGATTCTGGGGAGGCTGCCGGGGCTGCCCATAGGTGTGGTCGAGCCAGCAATCCCAAAACCCGGTGGGGGACAGAAGCAGTAAGTGATGCTGTCAAGCTGGAGAAGGAGTCCTGAGGCAGCAAGCAGGTACTGGGAAGCCGAGCGTGTTGCCAAGGCAAAAACTCTGGCCTAGGAGGAGTTTGGAGAGACCATGGAGAAAGACTGTCGGCTAGCCTTAAAAGGATTCTGGCAAATCCTCACCTATGGTCTTGAAATCTGGATCATGACCGAAAAAACGAGATATTGTATACAAGCGGTGGTTGGGCACTCCCTTAAGGGCTGGTTATACTCCCCGCAGCAGAGTGTCGCAGTGAGCTTGACGCAGATATTTTTGATTTAAGCTCAATATTGAAGCGTAGTCTGCGCTATACGCTGTGGATATAGATACGGCCGAGGGGGAGAGGAAGAAGTAGGGGCAAATTTGTCTGACAACGGAGGGACATGAGGGCTAAAAAGAGCGGGGATCCAGGTGGAAAAAGAGCCCCAGCTTTCATGGCACCTCGGTCTTCTAGCACCTCGTCGTTTTGTTCACTGCGACAACTACTCAGAAAACATAGTTTCCAAGTATAAATCAGCCTTTAGAGAGGGTGAGGAGCTTTCCATTTAGGAGAGGCTCAGAGTAGAGCCGCTACTCCTCCATATCGAGAGGAGTCGAGAGGAGGTGTCTAAGTAGAGGGAAATTTGTTGAGACTGCTGCCCCTGCGACCCGGTCTCAGATAAAGCGGAAAACTACAAATACGACTACAGTGTTAAAAATCTCAAAGATGTTTTTTACTAAATACTCGAAGTATGCCATTCCATATGGCTAGCACTGATTTTCAGAGGCGAAAGTAAAACGTCAGCTTTGACTCTTCCCACAACTGTTGCAGATAGCTTTCAAGGTTTTAATTAAAACAAGCTCTGATAAAGTAATTAAAGTTAAGATTATAGAATCATTTAGATAAACATCTTTCTTATTTTAAGGAGCAGAGATTTGGACGTTTGCCACCAGTAATTAAATAACTGAATAACCTAGGAACTTTTACATGGTAAATAAACATCTCAAACAGAGACAAATATCTCTGTGTGGAAACATGTTCATGTTTTATGCATTACTATTTTCCATTTTTCAATGAAGTCTTATTTTGCTGGTTTTAATTATTTGCTTTGTAAAAACAGATTTCCTGATTAACTTCTTAATTCTAATGAAGCCTTACTTTTTTGATAGTTTTAACTCTGTTTATTTGTATTATCAATTTTACAGGTTTAATTCTTAAACACCTAGTGTGGTTCTTAGTCATTGATCTAGCTTTTGGCTAGAGGGTCTACAGACAGAATAAAGAGCTCTTACAAATATAAGTATTGTCCCTGCTCAAATGCATTTGACATAAATAAATAATACATGAGCAAAAACAGCTACACCCGGCTGCTGGGAATGGGGAGTTAAGAGTTTGCTAGATATCAGGAAACTGAATGTATTAGACAATAGATGCTGTTTTATTTATTAGAAGATTCCAGTTCTGACTGTCATGAAAGATGTTGGATTAGGAAATTATGTGTCTACTGTCTGTATAGAAAATGAATAAACTTGTTAGTAATGTTTACCACACTAATCAGGCAAATCTTTAACATAAAATTAGAAATGATGGTGAAAACTGCAGAGCTGTGTAACAGAGATGCGTTATTGATCCTAAACACTCTTGCTAAGGCTTTTGTACCTAAATGTTTATGACTAGTTCAGCTAAAGATCTACATATTAACACTAAATTTGGGAGTTTTCTTTTTGCATATTAACTTGGACACAACTGTCATTTATATCTAGATGATCACATTGAAATAAGTTGAAAAACTGGTTATTTTATATTCGATATTGTGCAATAAAATGAAACAAAGAAAACAGTATTAGGGTTTAAAAATTAGATAACATACGCTTTAATGATTCTTATGTAGGGTTAATTTGTAGATACATCCAATAAACTGGGGGATTTTACTTTGCAGATTGTCAGATATAATTTATAGTTACATTTTACACATTTGTTATTTTCAGGTATTCCAGAACGTAGATCAGCATTTTGTAATCAGAGCGGGCTAAAATCAGTATCTGCATTCCGAAAGTCTCACATTGGTTCATCTCATTTATTGCTAACTACCCATAAATTTACAGGAAACATAAACTACTTAGTTAGCTATGAATAAATATACCTGTTGGGGGGCAGTGGAGTGACTTGTCCCAGTGGGGTGGTGGCTGGTGTAGGGGGTTTCAGGTCACCTGCTGTCTCTGCTGCAGAGCTGCTGCCAGATGACTGCGGCGTCTGTGGACCTTGGAGGGAGCCACCTGAGTTGGCTGGGAGACAAGAGAGGCATTATTACTAAACCTGAAGGATTCCCTGACTTCTCCCTCAAACTGCTGCAGATTGAGGCGGCCGGGCTTCATGCGGTCCTCTGCTGCGATACGGAGGCTGGTTTGAGTTAAAGCAGACAATGTAAGATTTTATCACAGCAAGGTGCTGTATCTGGGAGATAACTTTGGGCTTATGTCCAAAGCACTCAGACTGATGCCCAACATGAGAACTGAGCCATGGCAAAGGCTCCACGTAAAAACAGCGAGGACGGAAACAGAGACATGAAGCAAAGACGCAGCAAGGAGGGGAGAGGAGAAAAATTCTAGGTCATCTAAGAGCAGAGCATCACTTTATTAAAAGCTGAAGCTGTCCTTCAGTGCCTTGCAAAAGTATTTAACATAATCACACTTCAAAATTTCACTTAAAGATGCAAACATTGCTGTGAGGAATTGCCTTGCAGTCAGTGAGTCGATGCAATCAACTGTTTTTCCTTCACCGAAAAAGATAATGCAACGGTTTTTGGCATTTACTTCGTATTCAGTTACTTTAACACAATTGTTTTATATTAGTGGGTTAGGACATAAAACAATTAAGTTAAATACTAAATATGATTAAGCAAATGCCAAAAGTGGGTGCATTATTTTTTTTTATGTGTTGGATAGAAAACTCTGAATCAGTTACACTTTATGATCTGGTTGCGTTGTAAATTAGCGCTATAGCAATAAACTCAGTTGAACTGAATAGATCATAAGAGCTGCCAGAAAAATGTACAACTCCTAAGGGCTACAATCATACATTTTTATTCAACATATTCTCATTATCAGTGCGTATGAAATCGTACGAAAAGTTATGCACCCTTTTTCGTACGTTTTGGACGTTTTTCCTAAAAAAAACACATCAGTGCGCATGCGCTGGCAGACAGAAAAAAAAAAAGCAGATCCGCGGATGGACGTAAAACTGGGAAAAACAGTGCAATCATCACTTATTCATGTCTCTAACTACGTTGCTTGCTGTTTTATATCTTAGGGTTAGGGTTAGGGCTAATTGTAATTTATATTCTAGATTCGTGAATGGTGCGTCAGATGCGCATACGACGAAAAAAACATCCAAAACGTACGAAATTACGGTGCATAACTTTTTGTACGATTTCGTACGAAAAGTAATGAGAATAGGTTTTATTTGGGAACAAACCCCGAAAAAGGTCAGAGGGCATTAACAATAAACGTTTAAGAAAAACTACCAGCAGCTCCCTAAATCCTGAATAGTTATAGCACTGATTGAAAAAAACTCCCCAAAAATTAAACAAAATTGGAGATCCAGACAGGGGTAAAAACTGGTTAAGGGTTCTATTTCCTTATTACACCTCATTTAATTCAATTCCTAATTCAGATGACTGGAAAATTATAACCTAGTGCAACCCCAACCCCCAGCCAGATAAAACCAAGTGATACAAATTCCCAGAATGAATGGAAAATGAAACCCTGTTGAGCAAAAAGATGACAAAGACACTGAGGGAATAGGAAAGTTTCCTAATGAGCGTTTAGTGTAAAAAGTCTTTTTTTTCCTCTGGAATAGCCTCAGCAGCCTCTCCCTGTACCACGTTTCCTTAAGAAAAAAAAAAAAAGTCCCTCGTAAGACTTAAGCTTTAAAAATTCATGGTAATTCTGAATTATTAAACAATACCGGCTGCCTCTACATCACAGGAGACAGATAGGGGAGAGACAGACTGAGGGGTAGATGGTGTCCCATGATGATGAGCAGAGGTGAGAAAAGAGGGCACAGACGGGTCACTGAGCTCTTTTTGGGCTATCCCGGTGTCAGACCGAATGAATATGCAGACGCATGCCCACGTGGAGGAGAGGGAAACAGTCCAGGGGTCAGCCAAGGTTAAAAGGTTTGTCATTCTTCAAGAGCAGACCAGTCGACTGCATAGAAAGGTGGAGGGGAGAGGTGGAAAGGAGAATGAACTGAAATGCCCTCTGCTCCACATTTAGCTGGAGAAAAAAAGCTGGCAGACGAGAGGGGGAAGTAGCGTGTACGCGTGAAAGTCTGGATGTGTGTCA